AGCAGCAGCGGCAACAGCCGCCTCCAGCCGCGGCTGCTCCCCGTCCCCCCCGCCGGCTCCCGGAGAGGCAACTCAGGGGATTCCATCCCGCTCCGTCCCTTTGCCATTTTTGGATGCGTTTTATAGCCAATTTTTTTTTTTTTTCCTCGGGAGAAAGCGAAAAAAAAAAAAAAAAAAAAGAAAACAAGCGAAGACCCAGCAGCCTTCCTCCACCGCCGGACTCCGCCGCCGTGCCGCCACCGCCGCGCACCCACCGGTTGGATTTTTGGGGTGTTCCGCCACTGCCGGTGGCACCGGCAGCGACAATGCCATCATGTTTTTGAGACAGGAAACCTCCGAGTTTGCCCTGCATGAAGAACTTCCTGTGTTTAAAGTTGTACGAATATCCGCTGACAAGCTCAGTTCAAATGAAAACACGAGAGTCGGGGGGAGAGGCTAATTCGGACCAGCTGGACTTGCAGGGCGCTCGGAGCTGGGCAGAAAACGCGCGGAGCCGCTCGCCACTGCCAGCCGGGAGCGGCCGGGACAAGCAGTGCCTTTGTTAGTAAAGAAGGACGGACGGGATAATTTAAGAGCTTCAAACTCTTCCGCCGTTTGTGCCGCGAACCGCTTGGAATATTTTCCCGGAGCTGTTGGATTTTGGATGACCCTCTGACGGAGGGGTGTTTTTTTTTTAGGGGGACGGAGTGGGGATGAGATGGGTTGTTTCACTGCTCAGGACCGCCGGTCGGGCTGCTGAGCCGGCGCGGTGCTGCCGGTTCCCCCTCTCGTCCCCGTAGTGTCACTTTGGGATTACAGACTGCCCCCGGCGGGTTTGGGACCTGCTGGCCGTGTGATGCTTCCTGCCGTGGCGGGCCAAAGGTTGCCAGGGTGGTTCTGTCATCCTTAAGGACGAGAGTATGGGCAAACCACTGAGCCGGCCAGACTGTTTACGGCAGAACCGCACTTGCCTGGGGAAGGGCGAGGATGAGGATGGTTATATAGAGGATTGCTACGTGCCCCAGAGATCCATATACGACACCATGAGAATTAACGAGCAGATCGATCAGGGATCGAAGCTCAACCAGCTCTCCAAGAGCACCCTGGGCAAGGGCGATGGCAGCACCATATCCAGCAACGGGACTCTGGGAGCTGCCAACGTCTTCGAGTCCAGGCCACCAGAACCCAAAAAGCTGGATGAGCGAGTCATCTTCGACCAGCTCAAACTCAGCAGCGACGTCTCCAAGCCAGCGCCAGCTCCACCAAAGAGGCGACCGAACCCTGAGAAGAAGGAGAACGTCAACAGGCGCTCCTGGAAGTCCTTCATGCCGCCCAACTTCACCGAGTTTGCAGAAAGGATGGGGGCTTCTCTGAGCGAGGTGTCGGAGGCGGGCGCTTCCAACCCTTCCCTGCGGGATAAGCGGGATTCCAGCGCCATGCTGGCCGAGCAGCCGGGCCAGCCCGAGCACGGCGAGCCCATGTCCGAGTCTCTCACTCTGGAGCACGTCTCCAAATCATCTGGCACGGCCGAGGCTCTGGTGGCCAAGCAGTTTGGTGTGGATGGCTACGGTGGCCCCCGGGACGAGCGCCAGGCCGGTGACAGCCGCGTCAGGGACCTGGCCAGGGCCCGCCGGCTCCCCAGTGCCACCTGGCCACGAGCCAGGAAGAATTTCATCAGGGGAAACTTCAACGACGGGCACCAGGAGACCCTGGAGGCCTCCGAGTCGGACTCTACAGTGGAGAACGTCAACCTCTCTCCGTGCCTTAGTGAGGAGCTGCTGGATACGGGACTGGATATTCTCATCACCTCCAATCTCAGGGAGAAAACGGAGTCTGAGCTGAGATTTGAGGAGGACGAGCGCTGGGTGATGATGGAGGAGTGGGAGGAGGCGACGCTGTCAGAGAGAGGAAAGCCTGTTCTGGTGGCAGAGGAGAAGAGGAGCTGTTGCTTGGCAGATATTTCTGAAGAAAGGGAACAATCCACTGCTCTGGAGGATGACTCTGCCCCCAGCCCGGGGACCACCCAGTCCTGCACGTCCCCAGGGGGTGGTGGCAGTGCATGCTGCACAGAGGATGCAGCAGTGCAATGTGGGGTTGAGGACTTTGCTCCAGCGTTGGAGCGCTCAACCAGCCCCACAGGCCCCGAGCTGTCTGACACAGACTCGGTGCAGATGTTCCTGGAGCTGGAAGAGCAGTGCCTGAATGAGGATGGGGGTGATGGAGCTGTCCCCAGCTGCCTGGAGGTTCAGATGTCCCCGATGGACTCAGAGGGACTGGACACAGATTCAGCCAAGCTGGCTGGGCTGGTGGTTGAAGGGGGTCAGCACAGGGCCCCCTTGGATATCAGCGCCTCAGACTCTGCAGTTGTGTCAGATCTGGAGGACTTTGATGTCACCTGCAGCTCACAGGTGCTGAGCACGCTGGAGCCCTTGACAGAGCCCTTCTCAGAAAGGGACACCTTGGCTGTCACCCCCACGGACTCGGACGGAGGGGCCTCCCCCAGCCCCGTGGCCATGGCAGGGCTGGGGTCCCTCCTGGAGTGCTCCCCAGGGCTGGTGGGGGAGGTTCCTCCTGACCCACTCGTGGAGTTCGTGGCTGGTGGGACTCCATGTCCTGGCACAGGGGCACATCCAGCTGCGGGACTGGGGGGAGATGGGTACCCCAGCGCTCCCCTGGGGTGGGCTGAAGATAACCAAGACTTGCTTCCCGAGGGGACCTGTCCTGGCCCAGTGTCCCCCTGCCAGCCCCCAGCCCCAGACACAGCGATGGAGGAGCTGGGGTCCCCCCCACGGCACAGCCAGGCTGGCACTGAGGGCATGGATCCGTTCAGGACCCATCACCTCCTACCTGGAAGGACTGAGGCCACCAACTGGGATGTCCCAGAACTGGTTTCTGAGGATGAAGCCACAGATTTGGGATCAGGGAGTGGAGCTGAGGGCTGGACTCATCCAGCAGAGAGTGGGGATGTTTGCTGTGCTTCTCTGCTGCCTTTCCACGCTGGCTCTGCATCAGAGCCAGGCTCCAAGGCTCCGACAGCATTCCCGGTGCCTGTTGAGGACCTCCCATGGGAAATGGTTTCCCTGGGCCGTGGCCTGTCTCTGGAAGGGGCTGCCCACTCCGAGGGGTGCCCCATGGAGGTGGCTGTCACACATGGGGGGACACCAGCAGCCATCCTGCAGCCGGGAGATGTGGATTTGTTGTTTGCCCCCAGCTGGGAGCTCCCATGTCCTGCCAGCCCAGCCGCCCATGAAGAGTTTCCCGGCACATTGTCCATTGCAGGGCCTTCCATCCCATGGGATTTTGGGGAGCTTCCTGCTCCAAGCCACCCACTTTCACCTGGAGACGTGGCTGTCCTGGAGCCCCAGGCTCAGGGGATGCCACCAGCCACCAGGGATCCTGCCATGGACGCTGAGGAACCTCCAGGAGCCACCACCACCACCACCACTGCCATGCCCTTGATGGTGGAGGAGCTTCTGGAAGCCCCACCACCCTTTGCTGACGTGCCTGTTGCCACCGTGCCACCACCAGCAGCAGCCCAGCCACTCGCCTCGGGTGCTGGGGACCTCGGTGGTGGCCCCGTGCCATTGGCAGTGGCCTTGGGGGATACAGATGACATTGCCATCCTGGAGCAGCTGCCCGCTGAAGCGGTGGCTTTGGAGGATGACCCTGTTTTGAGAGCACCTGCAGCGGGGCTGGCAGCTTGGGAGGGTCCCCCTGGTGCCTTCTCACCCCTCCCGGAGGGTCCCAGCACCCCAGAGCTGCTGGGGACACCCTTTGCTACAGCACCCAGGGCACAAACCCTCCCCAGGGCTGTGTTGAGGGGACCCCTCCGTCCCCACAGCTTTGGGGGTGCCCTTTCCTCGTGTCCCAGCGAGGGAGAGGGGACATCAGGCACGGAGGGAGCCCTCGGCGCTGCTCTCATGGCAGAAGGGCCCCCTGCTCTCCCAGATGGATTCGTTCCAGATAACGAGGTATTTGTTGCTCAGGCTCCCGCAGCCGAGGCTCCAGGCGCAGAAATCACTTTATTTTGCACTCCGGGGGTGGGTGGGAGGTGGGAGCCCACTCAGTAACTCAGATCTGGGCTTCCAAACAGCCTTCTCCCTCCCGAGATCGGCTTGAATTTGGCAGGCAAAAAGTT